AATTCAGGATCCCAAGTTGAAAAAAGTCTCACAAAGACAAGGTGAAATACTTACACATGACAAATGCCATGAAAAAAACTGAGATAGTACGCATCACAGCCGCTACAGATGGGATGCAAACTGTTCAGAAAAGATACAGCCCGGATACAGAAAAAGAAATATGGCACTGCTTTTTGGTGTTCTTTACTTCTGTCTCCAAACAGAACCACCAGCTGTATGTTATCTTGAGGCCGATTTTTGAATGGAGGGTTTTAGTGATGGGAGTTTAAAGGAAAATCTGATGAGTACCTCACATTTTACAAGCTCTCAAGTCAGTCAAAACCAGGTGAAGGATGCTTCAAGCTTGGTATCTTACTTTGAGTAAACTGATGCTAAATGTAGGCTAAAACAGTACTCCACTCTGTAAGTATACCATTTACAAGAGTCTGGCCTGCTGAAAAACAGAAATGGATTTAAATGCTCATCAGCAGGAGTCTGGTCTTTCTCTCTGTGTTAAGCAATGGCTCTAACTATATACTAAGCCTCATGTGAGAGGACAAAAGCAACAAGTGAACTGTTGGATTAAACTTAATCTGACTCGCAGTTGTACACAAGATCAGCCCCGCATCGCCCTGCTGGAAATCGAGGTATTCATAAGCATTGAGAGGCGGAAGAAAAGAGTCCCGCCATTTGTGTGACCTTAATTCTGCCTTATGTGATCAGGAAGTAAAGATGTACTTGCTGGAGGGCATGTCTGTCATCAGAAAAAAAACGCTCCCTCCATTCAGCAAGCTGTTTAAATGATCTTCATTAAGTACAGCCCAGAGGGAGGTGGGGGACAGAGTTTGTCCAAGATAGTCAGGGGGAAACTTTATAGCAGCATGGTCCAGTGCAACAGACCTCCTCTGCACTCCAACACGCCGAGGATGTTGTGTCCACGGCCCCCTGATTGCACTCAGCAGCTCAAGTGTCCAGAGAAGAGCCACGGAGGCTACAGTTTGCACATCTCTGGCCCTAACCAGATCCCCAGCCCGAACTCTAAGACCCATCATCCCATGCCAGAGCTCATCCTGCCGGAGACACGCAGAGGAATATTACAGGTCAGAAACATTCCGTGTCTGACTTCAGGCGAAAGGCATCAGAAAACTGCTTTCAATGCTTTTTGCTGCTTATGAAAACTGCAGCTTTTCAACTGCTTTCAAAACAACCTTTTAAGTTTCAACAACTAAGCCTCCATTCCTTCCTTCGCATGTAGCTTGCACAGTACCTATGCTTCTACACATGGTGATGCATTGTCTACTGACCTTCGGGTGCATTTCATTGATTTCTACCGCCTTTCTTTGTAATGGAATTCAGAAATGCAGCTGCAATGATACAAATCTCATAGTGCAGGGGCCACTTTCAATCTTTCTAATGGAAAAAGGCTACAGTAGGTACACAGCTGAATTCCTGCACGGTGTGTGTGAGCTTATCACCTTGCAGGCCTGTGAAGATTTTAAAAACATTTTAACAACACTCACGTGGGTGTCCTTTAAAGATACTGTCCCAGATGGAACAGGTGAAGGATTGTACTTTATTAACTACAACAGTCAAAGGTGAGTTTCATTTTACATAGTCCTCAATCTCCTTTATTTTCCTTTCTCAGTTCAGAGATCTGAAGAAATATTCTGGTGGGAAGCATTTCACCGCAACAAAAAATACTCTTACAATCTTCCATCACAAGAAACCACAATTTCTTGCTGCATCTAAATGTGAATATTTCCCTTTTTCCTCCCTGCATGTTTTCCTTGAGACTGAAGGTGTTGCAGAAAGCAGCTCAACCACAGTAACAGATGTAAACACTGAGTGGCTGCCACGGATAAAACCAGACACAGATCTCACAGTTTGGTCACGGTAACAAAAGGTGTGTTTGCACTTTAATTCTGGAACCTTTCCAGTAAGATAGTGGGAACAGCCTATTCCACATATACGAAAGTGGGGCGCATTACCTGCAGCAGTGTGCCTCTGCACGCACATTCTCAGGGTAGGAAAAAGGTCAATATACCACTGAAATGACAACACCACTGAGGGCCATCATCTGAGCAGTGAAACTGGTGACGTCTGCAAGAATGATGCGGCAAATATTCTTTCACTTGCCCGTGAGCTATTTAAACCACAGAAGAAATCGCTTTTACCATTAATCCAAGTGAAAATGAATGCAGGGAAGGCTGCGCGGAGATGGCGCTGGTGGCTGACATGCACCAGTGGGTTTTTTTCTTCTGAACTCTTTCCAGAACACACCCTTAGAGTGTTTACACTGGCAAAAGCCTACAGGAATCCTCACTCATCTGCTCAGCCCTCAGTAGCTGTGCTAGTGTCAACATGGCTCCCTTGGAAGACTCACCTGCAGGAGCAGGGAGTAGTGAGGTCGCCAGGAGAACTGATGGCATTCACATGGGGTTCCAGTGCCAAGCTCTCTCACCAGGCAATGGAAACAAGTGGACGGCACACAATGAGACAGCAAGCCACAACCACAGCATTTTCAGAACAGGATGTGCCCAGAGGAACATGAGATTTGAACTGAGTTTTACTAAGACATCACACCCCTGAGGTCCATAACCATCTTCCCAAAACTCAAAATTGTGTATTTCCTATGTAAAGAACCAGCATTTCATAGATCATATATTACTCCCTAATTCATGGCCATATTGCTTATTCAAGGTTCCCACAAATGGTTATAACCATAGCCTAACTGTATGATTACCCATAGTTCAAGGGAAAGGTATTCATAAGTGTTATATCTGATATTTATGAATAGATCTTTCTTTGAGGATTTGCACAATCTACTGCAACAATTTATTTCCTTGAGTGGACAAGGTTTAATGTATATCCCAGGTCATATATCTGTAGAATATTTTTTTAAAAAGTAACAAATTGCTGCACAGCACTGTGAGGATTAGAGCTGAACTTTCTGTTCTGCGTTGACTCACTATATATCTGGGGTTACTGCAGGTCTACCGTCTCCTCCGCAGAGCTCTGATTGTACACAGAACAGGTTACCTCATGCATTCCACAAATAAGATAATCCCGACACATCCGCAAAAAGACACTGCTGATGCCCTCTGGGGCTGTCTGCTTCATGCCACTCCTGGGGCTGATGAACGACCTTTCATTTCTCGGGAAATGTTTAAATCCCAAGTTAAACACACATAAGCACACAGAAAGGCTGCTGCCTTGGGTTTTAATTCATTCTGGCACAGAAACCCAAATGCTGTAAGATCCACACCACCTCACAAACTTCCTTTTAATAAATTAAATTTCAGGTCAGAGTAAACAAGGTTTAAACGACCCTTGCAGCTTCAGAGCAGTGGCTCCCATAAATCCAGCTTGTTGACCTTTGTTATACCTGCATTCAAGTTAAAAAGGAATGTTAAGCAAAATGTAAAAGCAAGTCACAGTACAAGTGTATTAGAACGCTAATGGCATCTTATCTATTTGCAATATTGCAAAAACACGATGAAGACACTTGTAATATTAAAATTAAATGGGTAAGAAGAGGAAGGCTCATAACGGTGTCAAATACAGCACATATGTAATGATTCACAAGGCCATGTCAAGAGAGAATTACACTAGTAAATGTTTTCTCTTAAACATTAAAACTCAACTGCAAACACTGAAGATGGCAGCAGTGTAAATAAATCTGGATAAGACATAGGGGATAACCACACACAACACATCAAGCTCACTCACTGAATCTGGACAGTACATGACCTCCTCTACAAGGCAGGCCTGAAAGTCTAAATGGCTAGGCACAGTCTACTGAGACATTCCTCTTTCAGTTTGAGATCCTGGGCCTTTCCTTCACCAGCTGCACCTCCTCCAACTCCGTGACACCACACTGCAGTGACACCACAGTTTCACTGTCGACTTTATGATACCACCCCAGGGCTAAAGCTCACAGACACCTGCACTTCCGGGTCTTGAACACCACGTTCGTTCGTGGAGGTATGTACACATTCCTCGGATCAGCAAACCCCAGTTTTGATAAAACACCCAGCTGAGCAGCCGGGAGACAGAAGGTCTCTCAGAGCACCGCCTACGCGTACAGCACAAATCCCGCGCCTTGTCAGGTTAATTCACCCTTCACGCTGAACAAGACCACCGCGTGCGGACTCGTAATCCACATTCAGGAGGACTGATTTCCCATACGCGTTTGCCGATCTTTGTGTGTCTGTGGAAAAGAGAGAAAAGACCGGCATGCTGAAGGGAAGCTGTTCAGCCATGTGGGCTGCCTGAAGTCTGAGCGCTGCCCCTTTCTCTTCTGAAAGCCACTGGCCCTTCTCCCTTCATCACGCTACACAAACTCTTTAAGTTAATTACACCTCACAGAGGACAACAACGCTGATCCACGCTGACACAAATACATTCCGAGCGGACAGCACAAGCGACTGCACAGCCCGGAGCAATAGGCTATCTAAAAATGGGCTTTTTGCGTGAAAGCACAGCTACAGTGCATTTAAAAAAAAAAAAAACAACATGATTACACTGTGGACAAAAAAAGCCAACTGATGCAGGCCATCGGTTTTGAAGAGCACTCTTTGGCTCCCTGCTGCTTTGCTGCCTTCTACAAAGATAAACCTTGGGAAAAGACATAAGGAGTCAAAGCCAGGACAGGAAAAGTCCACTGCTCTCATTCTCCCTCACTACAGTTTAAGAAAATAAGCATTTACAACTGGAAAGATCTGCAGGGATCTTTACAGCAGTTCAGCGAAGCACCATATACAGTAAACCTGTTTCTGAAAGACTCAAATCCGTAGTGACAGTCAAAGCACCATACGGTCAGGAAAAATGTCAAGCAATACTTATGTCCTGTAGATCCCACTTCCAATTAGAAATGTCCCATGCGTTACAGACAGCTTTAGGCTCTCTTCCACTCTTGGCTGCAAAGGCTCACTAATTCCACCACCTGCAAATTAAGAAAGACCACCTCCTCAGTCCAAGCTGAGGTCAGAGCAAGCAGCGGTTCGAGGGTCGCCACTCACCTAAATCTCCGTGGAAACTGTTGTCATGCGAGGCCCTGCTGGACGGCGTGGAGTCGCCATCGTGGGGCCAGATCTGCCCGGTTTTCCGCACCCCGACGATGGTGGCCTCCGACACGACCACCTGCTGCTTGTGGCGCTTCTGGGACTGCGGGGTGGGGGGGCTGCTGCTGTCAAAGGACTGCTGGGAGTTCTGGGAGGGCGAGCGGCTCTTCTCGCGGAACATGCGGTAGGTGGTGGGGCTGGGGGACACGTGGCTCGACTGGCCCGAGGAGAAGTCCTCCTCGCTGGACGTCAGGTTCTCGTTGGAGCTGCAGTCCGGCGTGTAGCCGCCCCCGCCGTCCTCGAAGCTGCCGGGCGAGTAGGAGCGGCGGGGCCAGGTGAGATGCTTGTCCTGCTCCCCGTGGTCCCGCGCGCTGACGCCCTTGCCGTCCCCGTCCCCCATCATCCCCCCCACGTAGACGCTGGTGTACGGCTGGAAGTCCGCCGCCGGCCTCTCCGCCCTGCCCCCGTTCGCGCGGACCAGGTTGTCCTTCAGGAAGCGGGGGTTCAGCTCCGCGTCCTCGTACTCCGCGTCGTAGCCACAGCTGGCCTCCGTGGACCGGCCCCTGTAGACGGGCCGGCGGTATTCGCCCGCCCCGGCGGCCAGGCTCCCCGGCAGGGAGTGCAAGGACCTCTTGCGCTCCATCTGCATGGCCTGGCTCCCCAGGGTGCTGATCTTGTCCGACACCTCCCGGTCGTTGACCCTCACCAGCCCCCTCTCGTGGTGGTACTCCATGTTGACGTAGAAGGGCTTCTCCGCCCCGCCGCCCTTCCCCTCCCCAGACGAGTGGGAGTTGGCCCGCTTGATGCGCTCGAAGTTGGACCGCAGCGCCGCCACGCTCATCCCCACCTTCTCCCTGGGCGACGAGTCCTCCCTCTCGGGAGGCGGGGGCCCGGCGGTGGCCCGGCGCCCCGGGGCCACCCCCCTCTGCTTGGAGGGGGACGCGCTGTCCACTTCGCTGTCCTCCGGGTGCCTCTTGAACCTGTCGTCGCCGTGGTATTTGCACCTGTCCGCCTCGCCCGCCTCCCCCGGGTAGAGCACTTCCACAGCGGGTGGGGGCTCCGGTCCTTCGCCCTGCGATGACGCTTTCCTAACGGGGGGAGGCCTGGGCTTAAATTTCTCCTCGCCGGCCGGGTGGTACCTACTCCTGTCCCCCTCCCCCGACTCGTGGGGGTGCGGCTGCGGCGGGTCCGGGCTGCTCGGCTGGTCGGACCCCCCCGCCTCGTTCATGTGGGAGACTCTCCGGAACCCCCACCGCTGGCGGTCGTAACTCTTCTTCTCCTTGGCCAGCAGCGTCTGCAGGTAAATCATCCTGAAGCGCTCCTTGTTCACCTCCATCTCCAGCCTCCGGATGGAAGCCTTGCATTTCTCCAGCTCCTGTTCGATATCCCCGACGGATTTTAGCTCCATCTTGGGAGGTTCCGATTCGGGGAACTGCGCTTTCCAGGCTTCAACAAAACCCACAGGTTCCACCATTGTTGTTGTTCTGATTATGCTGCGCTGTGATAAATGCTATGACTACGGTACGGCTTACTTTTCATTAAAATAATCCCTTTTCACTACTTAGTTACTCCTAGCTGGTAAATAAAATTAAACTTACCAATGTGGAGTGCCCAATTACATACACATTCATTATAAAGATTGCGTCTCTTGGAAGTTTTTTTTTTCTATTTTCCAGATTGTCCCTTGGCTTTTTAAGTCTTCTACGGCTTATCTCGCTGACAATTATTCATTTATTTTAAATCGGGACTAGTAATACAAACACGGACCGCTTAGTGTGGATGTCTGAATCCAGTAGGTTGAATCCAAGGCGCATTCTCCGTCTCCAGTGTTTTTGTCTGCGAGGTTCCGAAATGAATAAATATCGGAGTACGACAATGGGAACATCTGTCTCCCCGCAAGATGGCAAAGAACGAAAAGTCTTCTTCCACAGAAAAGGGTTTCCTTTCCCTGCGTTTTTTCACCGGACGCCTCTCGTTGCAGTTGAATCCAGAACCATTGCATCTTCACAGAGGGACATCCTCTTTTATTATCATCTCCAGTTGTTACAGGCGCTATTGTACCAGTTCCCAAGCAGATGGAATATCAAAATAAGGATCCCGTCTATTGGCGATACCCAGTTTGTCCCATTGCGGTGGGAGTTCGCGGGTGGATTCGTGCTCTGTTCGCCCTGTTATCCCATGTTTTAGACGGGAATGTTGACACGCATTTTATCCAGATTTTTTTTTTTTTACTCCGTTTCCTCGCCGCTGCTGCGCTCAGGTCTCCCCATTTCACTCTGGCACCAGGAGCTGCTGCAGGAAAGGGAGGGTCTTGCTGGGATGAGATTGACAAGCGGCTTCACTGCTGTCCCATTTAAAGAGACAGGGAACGGTCGCCCTTTCCTCACGCCGTGCAGAATCCACAAAGACGCGCTGGGTGATACATGCTGGAGCAGAGCCAGCTGTTATTGTGTTTCATTATTGTTCGGTGATGAGCAACAATTGTTGTTTCATGGTCATTCTTGTGACAGTCGACAGTTACTTTTTAGTTTGTTTAACGGTTCTGTAAACTGAGGAGCTGCGCTACAATGAAACACAATTTTCCAAAAGCAAACAATGTAGAGGTAAACTCATACTTGTAACATACAGCTCTGCGTGCCTCCCACTGCGAAAGGCCAGCGAAATTAGTGAACTTGTACTTCAGAACTCTGTCTCTACATCAAAATAAGGTTTGACAGTGTACACAAGCGATGAGAGAATTTATATGTGTGCAGCTACTATATTCATCGTGGGTAGCTGCGTCAGCATGCGTAGTCTGCAAAGGAACAATAGGTTTATTCCCTGCTGAAAAGAGAAGAGAAAACGTTTCGGCTGTGAAGCCTTCTTCAGTTGTGTGGCTTCACAGAAGAAGGCTTCGCAGCCGAAACGTTGTGTTTTCTCTCTTCTCTTTTCAACAGGGAATAAACCTATTACTTGTTCCTTTGTTTACTGTATTCATCGTCAAATTACTCCAAACGTGAATTAAGAAACACAGAAGTTAAAGAACACAGGTATAGTATCCCTGCCACATGCGGTACGGTCTCTCAGGAGAAAGAGAAGACAGAAAGTTGAGAAAAATGGCATGAAGGAACACCTCAGTGATTATTTATTCGTTATGCCTTCCTTTTATTTCGTAATACCAGGAAACCATGTCAAATTTATTGCGTCTTATGTGAGTCAGACTATTTATAGTAAATTACGCATTGAAAAAACTGTGCTGACGCAAAGATCTTTTTTTTTTTTTGAGGAGGGAATCTAATCAAAGTGGAGCTGACTGTAGAGGCAGGAGGCTTCAGCGGTGTTACTTTCTGCTTGAGACAGTCTCCTCAGAATGAATTCGAAATTGCGTGAATTACCGGACGGATTGCAGGTGCTGCAATCTCAGATTTAGACTCCCAGAGCGCCCTCTTGTGTCATAACCTCTCTCCAAAAGCAATCGCAGCAGGTCAACTTTCAATTAAAGGACCTGTTACGACGAACTGGAGGAAAATGTTTTACATACTGCTCATGACATCAATGGAAGGAGCTGAATAGATTTGCATGGTACGGTAAATATCAAATGTATCGTTTGGATCCGGTAATCTATGATTTTCTTTTTCGGGAAACGGGAAAAAAAGATAAAATGGTGGACTACAGTAACGTTTATCCCGTCTTTGAGCAATGCAGAAATAATTTGGATTTTATGCAGGTGATAAAAATGTAAGCCTATTTCCCAGCAAATATTTTCAAAGTGAATATTTAATTACCAACTTGTGGAACAGCAAGAAAAATATGTGAGTGTCTAGCGCCGTCTTGCGATTAAGTTTGACACTAGGTTCTGCCGTAGGGTTTATCCGTGTGATTTGTGTCCATTTGTTATTTCACACAACACAAATTATTTATTTAAAATTATTTTGCCGTGATTATTATGTTGGAATCGGTAAAAAAAAATTATTTAATGGCGCTCCTGCTTGCCATATTTCGAAAGATGATCCGGTTTAACTGACACAGTCCTGAAAGTTGTTGGATCTTCTTTAAGCGGCGACGCGTCAAAGCGATCTGAGTTAACAGACTTTAATAAAAATTAAAATCAGCAGTGTTTGCAATTAAAGCATTTTATTTGGAAAGAGCAGAAGGAAACAACATTTGTGTTACCGAACTGAAGATCCCGTGTATATTCTTCAACTCACCACATAAATAAAAATACATTAACGAAAGAAATCCGTATTGATGTCTGAATCTCCTGCTTTTTTTAACAGACAAGAGCAGGTTGAGATGAAGCGAAAAGTAGAATTTATCATGCAGAGCAACGAAAGAACACGTTAAAATCAATTTCGCTACGCAACAGAACTGGACAAAATTCAAGCAACGCGTCTTCATTCAGACGCATTCCGATTTCTTGAAGGACACGGCTTTGGGGCTGGAGAGCGCCTCATGGGTCACCTCGCAGGAGAAGGCTTCGTGTCCTCTCCAGTCGGAGGCGGACAGGCTCAGACAGCTGCTGGTGCTGAAGCTGTTGTCGCTCTGCTGCGCCGCAGAAGCTGTCAGGGCGCCCGCGTTAATAACGCTCCCGTCCGCTTTCCAAGACCGTCACCGCTCTGGGGAAGAATCTGTCCACAAGGCAGACGAGAGTCTTCCTATCCTGGGAAGCCTGCTCTGCTGGTGTGGGCATCAGTAAGCTCACGGAGGGTGGAGAACTGGCCCCCTGAAACAACGTAACGTTTCTAAATGTTTCTAAAGCACTTGCCAATCACAAACGCTAAGAAATTCGGCTCATCTCGATGATGTCCTTAATTATTATCCAGAACTAAAATAACAAACAACACCGGGGAAAAATGCATTTTCTTACACATTAAAAGAAGACAGGAAATAGATTTTGTTTCGTAGAATTATACAAAATATTATTTGTATTTTTAGACATGCGTTTTTTTACACGTTTTTGCTTTCATTTTCCTGGCGAACCACACACTTGCTGGTTTTCAGTCCACTCGCCCCTAATTAGATAAGTGCAGCCTTAATTGATCTAAGAAATTGCTCCCGCTAATTTACCCCACTATCTAGCTGTAATTTTTGTTCCATTTTATAATATCCAAAGATTGATGAAATGGTAAAAAAAGGCACAAAAATGCATTGCAAGCTTGGTCACATATTCACCAATAAAGACACTATTCCGGATAATATATCTTTTTCGTTGCTTGAATACTGAATTTCTGAACATCACCTTTTCAAAAAAGCGTCGCTTAATTTCTACTACTGTCTTCAGGGAACACAGTTTACTGTAATGTATACATGAAACGAGCCCATAGAATGATCACATTTACATCATAATAACGACTGTTAAATGCACATGAAATGTATCAAAATCCCGCACTGAATAAAACAGAACTGATTTGCTTACTTGTGAAAGTCAGTGTGGTAACAGATCCGAAGATGTTAACACAGTGACACAGCCCCGTACAAAAACCTCTCCCTAAATTAACGAGGCAATGGGTTTGGTCTGCTCGCGTCTGAGAGAGGATATACACTATAATGATCCTGCCGGAGTATATATTTTTCACTTAATTCTGAAACTTATCAGATTCTGTATAACGTCGCGGTTTTCTGTGTCAATCATGAATGGATTGTTTTTGGAGCTCGTCTATAATGGATACTTCGGTCAAAACTTGGGTTTTACGGAGGTGTTAAACGAGGTAAGAAGAATATAAAGTATATTTTTAAATATAGATGTGAAAAACAACTAAAATTAAATTAAAATCATAATTTAAAACATTGAAATATTTTAACACGATGCTTACTATTGCAATATAGAGTACATGGTCTTGTGCAGTTTTTTGTTGATGGGTTGCAGGAAACGTGTGCAAACTGCTTCTTAATAGTGATCTACTAAAATTAGAAATACGAATCTAATTTCTAGATAAATGTGTCAAACACATAATTATGGGATACCATTGCGACAAGACCTCCGCAGCATGTCATGATAGGGACCCCATGTATAAGGCATGTATATCGCAGCAGTGTATATCCCGACTGGCGCCTTGCTTCCATGGCACCCTGGCACCGCTGTCGCAACAAAGGTCTAATATCAGGACATGATATACCCAGATATACGTGTCTCGATATATGGGGTCAGCATATCCCGTCAGGGTATGTCCTATCGCAACATATGGACTCCATGTCGCGACATGGGGGCGGGGCACTTTTGCCGGGGTATGTCATATCGCGATATATGGGCTTCATGTCGCGACATGGGCTTGAAGGTTTTTGTTATATCGTGATATAGGCCTTTCATGTCGCGACATGGGGCGGGGCACTTTTGCCGGGGTATGTCATATCGCGATATACAGGTTTCATGTCGTGACATGGGCGTGACTGTTTTTGTTATATCGCGATATAGGCCTTTCATGTCGCGACATGGGGGCGGGGCACTTTTGCCGGGGTATGTCATATCGCGATATATGGGCTTCATGTCGCGACATGGGCTTGAAGGTTTTTGTTATATCGTGATATAGGCCTTTCATGTCGCGACATGGGGCAGGGCACTTTTGCCGGGATATGTCATATCGCGATATACAGGCTTCATGTCGCGACATTGGGGGTGGGCGTTTTGTCGGGGGTACGCCGTATCGCGATATATGGACTTAATGATGCGACAGTGGCGCCATGACAGTGATGCGCCAGTCGCAATGAGTATTGCGATGTGATCGTGATGCGCGCACTCCTATCGTGACATGCTATCGGATGCTATCGCGCTGTGGATGCCATGACATTCTTTGTCTGCTATTCAGTTTTGACCTCAGTGCGACTTCTCTTAGATTGATTAGTAATTGGAAAGCAATGGATGTGTTACTGTTACTGTGTATCCAGCGTGCTCATACAGCACACACGGTACACAGAACTTCCGCTGTGGCGCTTTACCCAATCAGAGTGTCGATTCTCACTCTTCACCCAATCGCAGCCCGAACTGTTCGGGGGTTTAGCCAATCACGGGTCCGAGAGCTGTCCAAGCTAGCAGCGCCAGGTGGATCGGCTTGTTCACTGTCAATGAGAAACTATTTTTAAAATGGTTTACTTATTTGGAAAATAACTGCTTCGGCTTGTTTTTTTTTAACGTCTTTATTGATTCACAATGTCCCGTACTCTTCGAAATAATACATTTTTATTTGCAATATAACTGTCTCCGCTGCTTTCTGTAATGAATACATGGTATTTGAACAATTTTAATCGTATATTTAAGGTAGGGGTAACACCTGCTTTGTACTTCAAAAATGAATAGAAATGTAAAGTGTATGATCATTATATTATTATGCTCGTGCTTTCAATTTTGTTTTTTATTTTTAAATTATATCGATCTTGAAACCAATACCTAAAACTGTGAATATGGGCTCGTACGTGTTCAAAAACCAGGATTACAGACCGTACCAATATACGCTGTTCAAGTACTGAGCCCTGATGGAGCAACCAGCAACCAAACATGTAACACGTCTGCCACCTACTGGACATTTAACTTATAAACCCACCCTCACTTAAAATAAAAAAATGAACATGGAGATACAGCATTCCGTCTTTTTATTAAGGCAACCATAACCTTATTTTGCATGGCTATTGTACTTGGCTAGAGATTTCAGAACGTAGACTGAGTTCAGCTCTGCACAGACAAAGCTGTCTTTGAAATCAAGACTACTGCAATTTCGAAACCTGTGTACGATACAGTAGCAATATGTAACTGTAGCTATATTGTCATAACTATTATGTAGTTGTAATTTATGGTGATATATACACACGTATCAATAACTTATTACCTTCCCAAGCCCCACCTAGCCTGATCTCCTATCTGTCCTGCAAGCTCAACTACAGTACATACTGCTATGACATCCTGCTATAGAATATCACCTTCCCTGAGCATTTTCAAATCAAGACTCAAAACCTTCTTCAGAGGGGTTTAATCTAATCGATGTCTGTCTCACTCTTTGCATCTTCTCTCACATTATAATCCCTTCTGTTCAGAATTTAGTTTAATTTTATCTCCTGTCTTTGTTGCTGTTTTCATTGTTTTATTTTTTAAAACTTTTCTGGAAAGCACATAGATGAGGTGTTTTGAAAGGTGCAATATTAACAAAGTTTATTACTATTGGGAACATGAGATTATTCAATGTGATGGAAATATTATGCACTAAACCTGCCACACATTCAAGTGTCTTTTGTATTCAGCATGGATCTTAAGGGAAAGCCTCATCCAGTATGTTTCAATGCACAGAGTTACTGCAAGTCTCATTTCGACTTTATGTTATTTTTTTTAGTCGCTTTTTTCTTGTAAAACATGAAACCTCAAAAGGGAATAAGTAGGTTCGTATGACCTCTTTGTTCGTGAAAGGGTTACTCGCGTTAGCTGTAACAGGAAGTTCAGTTCACTTCCTGTTAGCAACCGTTCCAAGCTGTTAATGGTTTCCAAGACAGAGAAATCACGGAACGTTATTTTGTAATTTCAGGTATTTGTTTTTATGGATCTTTCTGAGAATTGTCTTGTGGTTTTTTTACTGTTTAAAATTTAAATAAACTTATAAACCGTTTTAACAGCTAGTAGTTTTATTTGGCGAAGAAGGACGTGAAGCGAGATTATTGGTTTTAAACTCAGTTTAACACGGCAGACTCAAATTACAGTAAAGTGGCTTGTTATTTAGCATACGAATGTGGTGAGATTTGGCTTTGTATTGTTTTTACAAATGAATGATGTCTAGTGATAATTTTAGGTTAACACGTAATTGTCCGTAAATTTGCGAATTATTTTTTTCATTAACGATGAAGTTAGAATTTGTATGTTCCCAGTTTTGCTATAACCACGAATGAGAAACCTTTCTCTAGTTTGTCTTTTTAATGTGATGTTTTTATTGACTTAATTTACACAGACACATAAATATACGTATAGGCTAAATATGCTCTTATATAAATGAAACCATGTAACTTGAAATCAGACCGTCTGCGTTGAGTTTCCCCCAAAAGGATCAAAATGAAATTGGGCTGATTGAAGAAGACGCATTTGTTTTTAGAATATTCGTAACCATCAACCGCTGATTCATCACAGTTTCATTCCTAATTACTATCACTCGGTAATTGATATGATCATATTATGCTTTGTTTATAAAATTCTCAAATTCAATCATATGTGCTTTTCAGCTCTCCATAGCCCAAAATGAGTGAGCAGATCAAATTTATAGTGGAGCAGCTGAATAAGGAGCCCTTCAAGAAAAACTTCAACCTCATAACATTTGACTCCCTGGAGCCATTGCAGCTGCTGCAGGTCCTCAATGATGTGCTGGCCGAGGTTGACCCCAAGGTGAGTGTCTGTCAGTCTGTTTCATGTGAGGTCTTGGAGTTAAGTATTTTAATATGGCTACATTATGATTTGTTTATGTACAGCGTGCTGTACACCTTTGAACCTGTTCTGTAAATGCATAATTCAGTGAGAGAGAATTTAGCTTAGAAATGTTTTTGTACCTCTGAAGCTTGTCCATCTGTCCATCCATTACCAGAAAGCAATGTATGCCCAGTAAGGGTTATACTGTAGCTAAGTGGAGTCTATCCTAGAAGCCTAGGGCACAAGGTGGAGCAAGGACACCGGTCCATTGCAGGACACACTTTAGATACAGCTGTTAACATTGCCAACGTATCTCCGGGGGAGGGAGGACGCTGGAGCCCCTGGAGAAAACTCACTTGGACATGGAGAGAAAACAACATGTGAACTCCACACAGACTGTGTCACTGGCTGGAATTAATTCCCGGACCAGCAGGAGTGACCTATCACAACCAATCACCATATCAGCCCTGTAACGTGTAGGAAAAGCAAAATACTGCATCATAAACTAGAAACCTGTATTTCCTCTAGCACAACATTGACATTCGTGAAGAAATGCCTGAGCAGATGGCCAAGCGTATGTTTTCTTTGTTGGGGGTGCTGAAATATAAACCTCCCGGAAATGTCTCAGAAGCGTAAGTCTTTATATTCTCTAATAGCAAAGCACTAGGTAGTGAATTAAAAGTGTAGCTGAGCTTAGGACAGTGTTTCTTTTATGTTCCATTAATATAATCAGTATCACGTCATTTATCGCTTATCCAGCTCAGGGTCACAATGGCCTGTAGCCTATCCTGGGAAACTTTGGGTGCAAGAGTGATACACCCTGACGGCGATGCCAGTCCATTTCAGGGCACATATATTCACACCCACACACACACTCTAACTAATTTTATAGAAGTGAATTATCCTACAGTACCAGCATGCCTATGGACTGTGGGAGGAAACTGGAGCTGTTGCATTAATATCATTGTTTGAAATGTAGTTTAATATACACTGTTATTAATATTACTAGTGCAAAGACTGTAACATCACAAACATGAAATGCTGGTTCAACTATAATGCAGCAGTGTACGCATGAGCATGATTTGATGATATCATGTTTTTCAATTATGACCTTTGCAGAAGCAATTTCCGTCAAGGTCTAGTGACTGGCAGCAAGCCTGTGATTCATCCAATCTTACACTGGTTGCTGCAGAGGATCAATGAGCTAAAGAAGAGGGCCTACCTGGCCCGTTTTCTCATGAAACTGGAAGTACCTGCCGAGTTCCTGCAAGATGATGTCATTGCTGACACACATCATCAGGTAATATGGCCTCTGGATGCAGGAGGGACATGTTCTATCGTCTGGCTGTCACATAGAAAAACAATGCTCAGTCGTTGCGTTATTCATCATGAATACAATATATACCGTGTCCATGACTCCAATATACAAGTAAATTGCATGTTCTGCCTCTCCATTTAATCTCTTCTTTGATATGTAATATTTGATCCACATTAGATTACAGCATTTGGTGGATTTTTGTTCTCTTCAATCTATTTGCACCCACATCTAGCTATTGTGTGAATTAAATCTCTTATTAACTATGAGGTGTTTCTAAACCCTTTCCATCCAACAGCACACTTACTGCACATAAATACAAACATTTTGCAGTACAACTTGTCTCTACATGACTGACTCAACTGTTATTAACATTGTAAACAAAATTTGTTTCAATGTTTAATCTGAATTTGCATCAAAGCGCCTATCCTTGCGGGAATTGATGATGGTAAGAAACAGAGCTCATGTTTAACTGCTCTTGAAAAACTCACCACAGTATTCTCATGTGAACAGTCTAAGAGTGTGGTCTCCATCTTATGCATTTACACTGAACATGCAACACAACACTTTTATAGCTCCTCAACACAAATATTAAAAATTAAGTATAAACAATATTTCATTCATTTTTCTCACATATAACTTTTCCTAAAACAACACCTCATTTGAGAAACAGTGGCACAGAGAACACTATATAAAACAATATATAGCAATATACCAGCACAATTGCTTTTACATTTTAATGTACATGTAATTTAATTTATGTTCTGTACCTAAATATGGCATATTTCACAGTATGAAGACCTAGTGGAAAGTTTTAAGACCTATCACAAGGAATGTGAGCAGCTGAAGACCTCTGGCTTCTCCACAGCAGAGATCCGGAGGGTAAGAATTGTGCACCATGCCTGCATAGGAAACAGTGTTAAATTAAATTGTGCAGCCATCATCTCTTTCCTTATGTAGTTTTAAGAGAGGGATTTATAGCTATGAATTACTGAAAGGTACTTCTAAAAATAACTGTGCACACTTGTGTCTTAGTACAGAAAAGCCTGTCACACTTACAGGTTTTGCCTGCATTTTACCTACTGTAAATCAAACTACATCATTTATATTTGTTCATGTCCCAACTTTTGAGGATGTACAGTACAATATTTTCGTGAAAAAAGTGGATGGAATAATTGAACAGTTTTATTAAATATGTTTGTCAATGAAGTGTTTTAGAAGTGTTTAAAAAACACTAAAAAAAACAGTTAAAACTTAAATGTAAAAAAAACAGCTAGAGCAATTTTCATTCAAAATGCGTATCGTGAATAGGTTTTGCTGAAAATACTGAAGTAGCAGGTTTTAAAATTGCATCTGCTTGTAAGATGTGCAGGTTTTGCAATGTAACTATATTCATAGCTTAAAATGAATAGGATGAATCTAGCCTTTGATTCTTTCATCACTGGTAGGTGAGAGGGGGATAAATGGAAGGTATATTTTCCTTGCAGGACATTACTGCAATGGAAGAAGAGAAGGACCAGCTCATTAAAAGAGTGGAACGTCTGAAGAAAAGGGTAAGGTTGTTAGCACTCTAAAAGCTATGCTACCAGAATCTTTGGCATTCAAAGGCTTGCTAAGGAATGAAACAAGGCCTCTGAGTCATGCAAACTCCCTTCTGGTGTTAATGGGCTGAAGTATGTGTCTAACAAGCCAAGAATTTACACATTGACAAGATGGGTCAGAGTTTTAATAGCGTGATGATTTAAGGGGCATTCGTGGTGCCAGGAGAAGTAATAAGGTCCTGTAGCAAGTCATCTTGAATGCAAGAAGTGCCGTGTGCTGTGTAACTCAATCCCAGTCCAAGATGCTGCTCACTGTAGTGCTGCTGTTTGTCCACTAGGTGGAGACAGTGTCCAATCACCAGCGCATGCTCGAGCTGGCTCGACAGCTTCGAGTGGAGAAGGAAAGAGAGGAGTCACTGGCTCACCAAAAGCAAGAACAGAAGAATCAGGTATTGCAGTGTTCTACAAGATATTAACCACATCTCTTAATTTCATTACAGCTTTTTTCTGACACAATAATTTTTCGATTTTGTTAGCAGGTCTTAGTTCAGTCACAGACTTGCCATTTCCTTATAAGTGACCTTTTGCCATCAAAACATCCATATCTTTCAGTTTTCTAGCCTTCTACACACTAGCGGCCTTCATTTAATGTGTATTACAATTAGAGTTTTGAAAAGAAAAAGTATTGCATACCATGGATTTGTAAAACAAAGGTAGATGCTATAGTGATTATCAAAAGAGTCTTTGGGGCAGGAGCCCAGAAGTTGCTGGTGCAAAGCATGTGTCACAACTTCTGATGTTGCTACACATAGGAGTTGACTTCTGACCAAACCTGTTAATGAACAATGTCAATGAACTTTCACTACAGGTAAGTGCATAGTGAATTTAACTGTATGCTGAAGTAGTTCAGGTGGGTAGCTGCATCAGCATGCATAGGCATGAAGACCGAAGAAGGCTTTAATGCTCAGTGTACAATCAGTAGGCATAGAAAATTCAGCTTCAGGAAAGAGATATCTATTTATAATTATAGATTTAAATGTATTTATTATATCTAATTATGTGTATGTTTATTCTATAGCATTAAATATATTAAATCTGAGTTGCATCCTATTCACCTATGGCAAATTACAAACCCAGTATATGATAGTGGGTTTCACTGGGTGGAAGGTGCAAGTCCAAAATACCATCTACATCAAGTTCTGGCATTGTGAATCTCAGCTGGTTGGTGAAAGTATAATGTAATCAGGGTCTTAAATTATTGTCAGGCAAAAAGGATGTTGAAACATATATATATATAACTTTATGTACATTATATTGTACAAGACCGTAGTTTCATCTATTATGTCTGAGTGCGATTTGAAGTCTCCTAGTTTCATCTATAGCATATGTATTACATTTTATATTAGGATTGTAAAAGAAAGTGACAGTATATTGACAGGAAGATCTCAGTATTGTCCTTTTAATTTATTTTCACTGTTGTCTTTTATGTAAAGCTTTCAGCGTGCTTTAGATAAAACATCTCAAACTTTGATCTTGGCTCAGTCCAGCAGGTCTTACAGTTAACTGTTAATTCTCCAGTTCCTAAAAACTTGGAAAAAAATACTTCAGTAATTTATTTACTTCTTTTAAGATCAGTTGAAGGTTCTCATAAATGAAAACTTACCAAAAGTTATAATAAAAGCACATTGTTATTTACGTTTAAAATTGTTTAGAATTGGTAACTATAGAAGTCATAAGAAATATTAAAACATTTTTAGCAGTGAATTTATGTTTTTGGAATGATCTTTTGTGTTAGGAATATATTTAGTTTGAATTTTAAAGGTACATTTTCATGTGTTTCTTCTTTTTAATTGTGTAAAAATGTTCTGCATCACATTGTAGCTGTTTCATGCGGAGCAGAGGTTGCAGAGATCCCAGCAGCAACTTAAGGACCTGCGACAGGCAGCAGCAGATGCAAAGCCTGAGAGTAAGCACGCAGTTTAACACTATTGTTTTCAGCCTGGCGCTCATGCCAAAAAGAGTGCAAAGGCCAAGGGGCAGCGGAGAGCCCAGATCAAGTTCCTTCACTGTAAATTGATTCAGATAAATTTAAGCACAATGACCTTGCTTATCTTTGATGTACTCTGTCAGTCCCCACCATGTGTAGGATTATTCTCCCCTTGGCCAGCTGGAGACTCGCGCTAAGATGCTTTTTTTGATTGGAGTTTTATATACATTTTAAGAATAACAAAATACCAGAATTTGTACTTTATATTACACAAGCAGAAACATTTTGGACATGTATCACAAAAATCCATTTTGGACAGTGTGCTAAGCTTTATTCTGTGGTTTTGCCATTTTTTGGTATGTGATAGTGTGCATTACCATAAATATAAAACCTTCTTACATGTCTCCTAAAGAAAGAAAGAGTATAAAGCAAAGTGGTGAGGCTTTGAGGTTGAAACTTGTGTTGTATCTTATATAAATGTACTTTTTCCACTAAACATTAAATACATCAATCAAAATGATTCTGGCTTCGCCTAGACAAACATTAGTGCCAGCATTATTTCAGTTTGTTAGTATTATATATTGAAAAGTACTGTTGTGGAAAAGTAATATTTGATTCTGAAACTGTAGTGTAAGAGAAACATATCATGGTAGATTATTTCTAGCTTCATTAAAAGTAACAGCATGTTCTTGTAAATCTACAGAATTTCTTCTTTGCTTACACAAAAATTCCATTCCACTCGAACTTAACACAAAAGGTTTCTTTACTTGAAATTCCCTTTGCACTACACACTTTTGCATTGCAAAGATCCATTGATCAGTGCGTCATAAAACCACCTTTGGCATTTAAAATTTGTATGGCTTTATGACATTATGAAACTTTTGTTTCCCTCATGAAAAATATACAGTAGAAAAATATAATGGTAATTTATTAAGCAAATGTTTTTTGTTGTGTGTTTAATTTTAAAAGGGTGTCTAGTTATTGGCCATGAATGTTTTCATGAGTTTTTCAAAGAACTGGACTGAATAATTGAGTGTATTTACCATTATTGTAATTAGCAGGTGTGTGGAGTACAAATACAGCACAAAAGATTATTCGGGCTTATTAAATTGCAATTTATCCATGTTAGAGAATGATCAAAGGTATTTTATGGCCTTCAAGTTAGCGCCCTAATGTTTATGTGTTAACTCTTCAGGCTTGATGAAAAGATTGGAAGAGGAGATCAAGTTCAATACTTACATGGTGTCTGACAAACTCCCCAAAGAGCTGGAGAGTAAGAAGAAGACAGTGCAGTACCTGCAGAAAGTGGTGGCTGAGCCAGCAATGGGGCAATCAGAACTGGGAGAGCTTGAGAACAAGGTAGTTTTTCACAGCAACAAAATGGACTCCTTTTTGCACAGCAGATTGTATCGGTTTTAGGTTTTGATTGCTGCAGGATATAGTACACATTGACTGTGCACAAGTCCTCAGAATGAGCTTGAAATATCTTCTCCCATTGTTGGCTGATAACATTAAACATTTAAATGGATCATGTTGCTACAAATGAAAAAAAAAACCTACATTACCCCTCTGTGGTCACATGGGTTAGAAAGAGAAAACATACTAGATCAGATTTTTAATCGCACAACATTGCTGGTGTTGAGCTTTGGTGCTTCCTAACCTTTATAGACGCACATACCTTGGCTTTTGAGTCAAATGAGGACTGTGCTAGTGTGGGAAATTACAGGACAGTTATTAGTCTTCAGTTACCCTTGGTAAAAAAATTCACTCCAGTAATGAGATCCTATTTGTTTTGGAAATACCAAAATTGCACATGTGCAGTATATCTAAATGCATATCTATGAATATTATATACAAAAGATCTATAATTACACAGCAAAATTGATTCAATTTAAATTTCACCCAGAAGTGCTTAATCATATTATTCACAAGGATTTTGAGTTGAATAGCACTCAGCTTTAAACACTTACAGTATTCCTTGAATGTATTGATTTAAAAGTCAAGTAGTAGATGTATTTTAAATCTCTTATTCCCATTTTCTACCTTTCTTTTTAGATTCGTGAAATTAACACTCAGATTAATCAGATCATTGAGAAACGAATGATGAGGAATGACCCTATGGATGACAAACTCTCTCTCTTTAGACAACAGGTGAGTTTTACTCAAAATTCAGAAAAAAATAGCAGAGTGCAAAGTTAAAACCTGCTGTTTTTCTTTCTTAATTGCCTGGGATTAAAGGACATTAGAATATTAATGATAGAAAAAAATGTTGAACCACAGCAACTGTTTCTTTTTGTTGGAATCTATCTCTAGCACTTTAAAGAAAGAATACATAATTGGCTAGTAGTAGTTTAGAACAAATGGCACCACCTTATTGAGTGTATAATTAGGCAGTCTTAATTTTACAAACTGAAAACGCTTTAGCAGTCAAGTATTATGTAGAAGGAGATTACTTGGCTTACTGTTTTATTTCATTCCTAAGATGCAGTGGGTGCCATTCATTACTTAGAGGGAGGCATCATGGTTTCCAATGATCTGTATCCCATAAACACACTGTACTGTAGCTGCCCAACCATGAAATGTGTGCAAGGATTGATGATGTCTAAACAGAAGGTTCCTCCACCCCTTAAGGCATCAGTGAAGGAAGCCTGTATATAAACACCTCTCAGGGGTAACATTCTATTAAATAGCTGCTCTAATCAAATCTAGTAAGTGAATATCAATTTTAAAATCTGAGGCTTTTTTTCAACACACATTTGTAAGATTAAGAAAAGACTTCTCTCTTCATTCTACATTCATGTGGGATAATTGTAGTGGGAAGCTTTGTGTAGTTTATTTATAAATATTTTTTTTCCCTAGGGCCATAAGAGATAATTTGCTTACACTGTGACCATTTTTTAATGGAATTTCCTTGCTGCAGGATGTAATTTGTATTTGTCCATAATAAGCCCTTGTTAGGTGGTTTTGTTACTACATAGACAACAGTGTGTGAAATGTCTGACTAAACTTCTTGGTTTTGTGGACAAGCTGTGTTTATTTTTCTTTTTATAGGAGAGAGCACCACAACCTAATTAAGTGAAGGGTACTGGCAGTCACTATGATATTTCTGCTCATTTGATACTTGTGCGCAACCTAGATTATAAAGTTCAAGATCATCAAGTTCTCCTTGGTAGGACATTAGCAGATTCTGATGGGTTATTAGGAGCATTTTTAACACAGTCAGGAAACATGGTTACAAAACGGTCGGTTAGGTCACACATAGACTATGATGTTTTATACTTTATTTCTTGTACATTTAAAAAATAGCACAGTGCTACATGACAGAACCTTTAAAGTGCACAGCTGTGTGCATGTCTTTTATAACAGGAATGAAGAGCGTTATATGAATAGGGACTATAATGCCCTTGACTTGCCAAATTCTTACCCATTCTTTTTTACATACCATATTAGGGCAGAATCTGGCAAGCAATACCCCAGTCCATGCCAGATTTACACTTAATATGAGAAAGGTTAATCAGTTATATGCATTCTTTTTTATGTTAAAGTAATACACAGACATGCTATTTATAATTAAAAAAAAATAATATTTATTGTGAATTCTGACCTGTATATAAATGTGGGAGTGAATTTGTTTTCAATGGGTGGGAGTACAATAGATAATACTTATCTTGTTTATAATTATTTGCTTCTCAACAGCTGATTTGTGAATCCAAAAATATTTACTGATCCTGTTGTAATAATGTCACTTTGAACCTTGTAGTTCACAACTTTATCAGTTTAGGTAAATGTATTAATGGGGACAAACATAAATGTTTCTAGATCTGTTTACACTGCAGTGAGAGTACAAGTCTATTACTGTGAGTAGACATCTGCCTGAAACATTTAGTAAAATAACTGGTTGGACAATTAGGCAGCTCCATGTCTGAGGAAGATACTCGTTGGTAACAAGCAGTTACAGTGTAGCATTGGACTTTGGATTTTTTCTACACTCATCACTCATTCAACGTAATAGACAAGTCTTCGGATCAAAGAAGATAATCAACGAAAGTTCACATCCTCCAATTTGAATACATAAAAACTGAACTATTAATTAATGTATCTCGTGGTACATTAGTTCATCAAAGTCAAGATTGTGATAATGAGCAGTTAGCGATGCGACACCCAGGAGTCTTTTATCATAGATCTCTCTCTACAGGCCTGAACTTTGTGGTTTCTTCCCCTCTCCCCTGATCTCGGCATCCGCAACGTATACAATTAAAACTGATTGATCGAGCGCTTGATGTTCTGGCAGGCGTCCATCATCTCGCGCAAAAAGGAGGCCAAGGCTGAGGAGGTGCAAGAGGCCCGGGAGGAGCTGGCCAACACCGAGAGGGAGCTGGCACATAAAACCAGCCAGGTCCGGGACCTGGGGGGTGGCAGCGAGCTGGTCAGAGGCGATGAGGTATGGCCAGAGCTGAAATGACTGTAAAAGATGAGTGAGAGAATTGTACAAATTGCAGATGGAAGAATTAACAAGTTGTGTCTTCAGTTGGTTAATAGTCTTTACTACCCCTTACTAGGATGAATATGTTTTTTATACATGGCATGTCCAACAGAGTTTAGTTCATTTTGGATTTAATAAGTGAATACCATGCACTTCCTGGCAGAGGTATTTAGATGCTTGTAGAGTTTTCTAATTATGTTGCTTTTGATCACAACACCATAAATAAGCAATTAGTTTTTAATATACATAACCTACTCCACACATTCAAAGGAAAGAAAGAAAGAAATAGTTAAAAATATATGAAGGAAATGTAGCACACATATTCATTATAATTGTTGTGGCAAACCTTAATGTCCCACACAGTTATTTGAGCTCTGACTGTGTGTAATAGTAGTGGTTCCCATGATTTCTCTGTGAGTTTCCTTGCTCAGGAAGTACATTTCAAACAAAGACTAAAACATGAAGATTAAGGAGCATTCAAGGCAAATCAGGGATACAGTCACTGAAAAGAACAGACCAGAAGAAGGGTGCAAAAAATATTAAAGTCTCTGAATATCCCCGTTAATACAATCTCCTCAATCATCAAGAAACTTAAGGGCACATTGTACCACCCAGACTGCCTATATCAGCATCAGGGCAAGTAGGAAACCGGCGAGGAACACCACTGTGAGGCCAATGTCAACTTTGAGCTACAGAGTTTAATGGGTGAGATGGAATAAAACGTCCATGAGGGAACAATGTCACTCCACAATGCTGGCCTGTATGGCAGAGTGGAAAACATCTTATAGTCCACATGGAGTTTACACCAATGCTCCTGAGTGAGGCCAAATTGGAACTTTTTGGTTCAAATGCTAAACGTGAAAAAATAAGAATTGTGAAGGTCAAATAAATACCATTCTTGACGCTTTTGTCAAATGATGTGTACCTTTAAGCATTTTAAGTCATAAATGCTCAGTTTAGGAGGTGAATTTGTTTCAAAACTAACTACAATAGATATGGAAGCTACTGTAGTATTTTTTTCATAAACTATTGTGGCAGAAAAATATTAATCTGGAATACATTGTTTTTAAAGGATATCCTGATAGTTGGACTTCTATTATGTGCCAAAAAATGATAAAAGAAAATAATCGCCTTGTGCTGGAAAGGATTGAAGATCCTGTTTGTATAATGATGAGGATCAAAGATACTCACATGGTGACAAGAGTAATGTTAATAGAGAAACAAACAAGTAAATCTGAAACAAATAGTTCCTCCGATTTGAAAGGATGTCCAAGTTTCACTGGCTGTAATATGTGGAGTACAGCTGTATTTTAAATATACAACTGCATTGAAATGGTTGCTATTTATATACTTCATTAAGCAGACAGGACCACAGGATTTATCCCCTTTCTCCAACTTTGCTGCATTCCCATGCAGGATTATAATTAGAACACAAAGACAACCCTTTATCTGACGAGTATCATTCACAATGTTGCATTGCTTTTTTCTTAACACATGATTTGACTTCTGACTATATATTTTCAGGAACTGAAATGTTTTCTAAAGAAGATATATACTCCAATGCACACCCGCAGATATACTCTTTACCTGAAAATATTAAGCTTTTAATTTTCCTCTTGGATTTACATCAACATTTTACTCATAAAGCCTAATTGTCTATTTCCCTAATTGTTAATTTTATGTTTTCTTAACTCATATTGTTTTGGGGTAAATACACTTCAGATCCTGGGACAGTAAGCTGCAAATCAGGATCATGGAAACCAGTAAATTAAGTGGTAAAAAAGTCATAAAACTTTGCAGTCAAACAGTAAAAATATTAAATAAATAAATTGGCATTTTACATTATGTTTTATACGTTTTATTGCCATCAATAAATATATATGTTTAGAAAATCTTCAGGAAAAGCAAAAGCAAACCTTTATGCCTCCCTTCTAAGATTCTATTAATTAAAGTATGGAGTTAATGATATTGTAGCTATGAGCATTATTGCTATGATGACTTTTTTATAATGTTCATTATATCAAATAAATGAAATTGTCCTTTACATGCAAGTCTTACTTTTATTTAGAATGCACTGGCCTGATATGTGATCGCAAAGAAATCTATATTAATGGTGCTACAGATTTAGGAACTGTCTTTTGTTGTTCTGTGTGTGTTTTTTATAAGCAAATGCTCCGTACACATTTCTCTGCAAAGCTGAACGGAAAGGCAGAAGAACTAAAAGTCCAAAATAGTACATTCTCTGCTTTGCGCCTTTTCTTGGGAAGATTTTATCAGTCTGTCTGGATAAGAGACCCTCTGTACAAACCCCATCCAAACTTAGAAAGATACAGCCAAGTGATGGATAACTGAAACCTCACAGTGTGTTGCACTTGACAGGACAAGATGTTTAAACCTGAGCTACTTGCAACACAGATAGGGATTGTCCATATTTGGTCACAAATTTGTCTTCTAACACACGGCCTCATTAAAAGAGTAAGAACAGTGGAAAAATGTCCCATGCTTTCATCTTATTTTAAAAAATCAGAATATTTGTGCATTGAGGACCTACAGTGCAGTGTGTGCTGTTGCTGTAGCTGAGCTGTCATTGGCTTATCAGAAGTATTTTCCATTTTGTCAATGATGAGCAGCATGTGTCACGTAGCAAGTGCTCACTTGATCTGTGTAATGTACAGTGTCACACTTGGTCATCTTCAGTTAAAATTCCTGAGCTTTTGTTCTGCTGTAATGAACTCCAGATTGTGTCCCGTTTGATATTTTTAGATACTTTTGCACTTATAAGGGGTAGCACAGTATCAGTCTTGTAAATGACATTGCAGGGACAGTACAGTAGTTCAGAGCCATTATTAGTGACATTAGGCTTCATTCATATCATTTATATTTTAATCTGGACTAGAAAACATAATGCCTTAATGACATTGAGCTGATTTTATACATATACGGAAGGATATACCGTATTTGAAGAATACTAGCTAACATTTTCACTATAGATGAAATCTGACTTCAGACTGGGCTTCCTGAAGAGGTAACCATAATGTCAAAAAAAGTAGAAAACTCTGTTTTTTCACTCTTTAGCTCCTTTAATTTCTGAGCTCTTTCAAATGTGATAGTGTTTTTAAGCCTTTGTGTGGCATTATTGTGATGCATTAGGACCACCCAATGATTACCAAATGATGTTTTGTAATATTGTTATTTAGATTGTTAAAACAAGCTGTCAATATCTTGTTCAAGCAGTTTACTAAGTGAATCTTCTGATTATTCCTTTTTTATTTTTATTTTGAGAGAGAAATTAACACTTATGGTAGACCGGTTCAATTTAGAGCAATAATATAAAGCTCGATAAATATGTATGGTTGTAAATGATTTAAATGATTAAAAAATGCATTGGCTAATTCGGTGAGAGTCATTGGCGGACATGTGTGACAAGAGAGCACTATGCTTTATTACTGTACTGCTAATTCCCTCAACCTTGTGTGCCCTTGATTTCTTAAAATACATAAACTATAAACTCACACACACAGGCTTCACATGGTCCAAGTGGCATAGAGCACATACTGTGATTTCTAGATCTGTTCTCTGGTACCTGAAACATTTATAGCTTTTGGCCATACTTAAAGATCCCCCTAGTACTGAGACTGAAAAGAAAAAAAGTCCTATGGGCAGTTACTATTGACGTTGACATATGAAGATGTAGGCTTATCTGTGGCAGCTTGCCCATGGCTTGAATTTCTGTGATAGGTTGTGCAGGCGTCCTGGGGGAATCTTAACCTTTGCAACTTCATCAGTCGTGCACATTTGTTCTTGGTATGCATCTCACTTATCTTGCAGCACAAAGCTACAGTAAAATACTTCAACAAAACCTGTTGCGATACCACCAATTGCTTGACAAGGGTCTGGGGCCTGGATGTCCAAAAATGTCTGGTATCTCTTCTTATATCTACATAACATTTGGAATGTGTCTTCTAATAAACCTTTCTGCACAGCTGATGGCTGCGTGCAGGAAAGTCTTTCTTTGCTCAGTGGGAATTGTGGTGGTCAGCTGCAGCAGCGTTACCATTTGTGCTTAACAAAGCCATCAAAATGTGATTTTAACTGCAACATTACTTGTGCTTGATAAAAAATAATAGGAAATATAATGGATTCATAGAGAGAACTTGTAAAGCAAAGCACAACAACTGCAATGTACATATACTGTAGAATCATTTTTCCCTGCCTGTTAAAAAGAGCAAATTCTTTTAGAGACAATAATCTGCACTCGCTACAGAGAGCTTTTACAAAAAAAATAGTAAGTGGTTCTCTATCAGTCTTATCTCTCCCACAATCTGTTTGTCAGTAGTCCTTGTCTTTTTATTTTTGTATTCTTAATTGAATTGTTTTTCTGTTACAGCAAGATAGTAAATAAAGTGTATGTAGAACTTGTGGTATTCTTGGTAAATAATAAGAAATTAGAATTTAATATAGGAGTTCCCTTGTGAAACCATGTTAGATGTCGGTACAAAATGCTAAATGAGATCCTGAGAAAACCACACTGCAAAGCTCCTTTTGGAGATTAATTTACGATGCATTTGATTGACTTTATCACATGATTTGCCTTTTTTGTTTCCTCTTCTTTGCAGTTCAAGAGATACGTCAGCAAGCTCCGTAGCAAGGGCACAGTGTTTAAGAAGAAACGTCAGGAGATCGCCGACATGAGGGCGGAGTATGGAGTTTTGCAGAGAACAGAGGAGATTCTGAAACAGCGGCATGAAGCTGTTCACCAGCAACTGGTAACCTGAAACCCTTCCTCATCAGGACACGTGCAGGCTCCAAAATACAGATTGCACTTACAGCGAAGTGACATAACCTTCCTAGAAATGATTTCATGCCCCTTATCCATGCAGCCTCCCAGCCTGGTGATAGCAGGGCTGACGCAGAAAGGGCTGAGCTGTTCTATTTGCGCTGCTTGCATCTGCCTAACGTTTGACAGTTGCATGGCTTTGTGATCAGGCAATGTATCTTTTCATTCTTTTTTGTTCAGCACGTTGTAAACCAACTCTTGTTCACTGCCGGAGCTCGTTTTTTTGCCGCTCTTTGTCACTCATGTTTAGCTGTCACTCTGATATTAGTTAGTTCCCAATGGTTTGATGAACAACCTGCTGTAACACTGGAGTGGAGCAGATTGTATCTTATTATCAGACCACAGGACTAAACTTAGTCATCAAGAATAACATTGTTTATAAGGCTGAAAAATTCCTTCACGTTTGAAACAGTTATTCTTATTCTTATTCTATTTTATTTTGGGTACAAAATGCAGATGATCATAAAAGAATCTCTCACATCATTGAAGAATATGTACCATTTACATTTTGACTTTTGATAGGAAAATGACTTTCAATGAGTATGGGAATAAGCCTTCATTTTTTTAAACATTTAAAACATTTTCACTTTATCTCTTTTTTCTTGTTAATTGATGTAACTACATATACATGGAGATATGTAACTATAGAGCAATTAAATAACTCACTTAGACCATAACTCACCTACTTTATATGTTATTACAACTATAGATTATATTCCAGAGTTAGAATCTTTGCTTAGAACTAGAGTTAGTTCAAATACAAAGAATTACAGGAAAAGTTTACAGGAAAACATTTAACGTTTGGGAGTTAAATAACAAGACAAGCATCAATATTGGTTGCATGGCACTTTAAATATCTGGTACTAGTCTTGGTACCAAGTAGCAATATCAGCACATGATTAAACATTCATTCATTCTCATTGAGGATAACCAGACCACGTAGCAGTGTCTGTCAGGGGAATGCAGGGCAATGAATCAGTGTTGGCAGCTGAATGAAAACTGTTGTAGGAAAGGACAAATTGATACAATATGGAACCAGCCGGGTTAGCCATAGTGTTTGGTTTACTATCTTAATTGATGATACATACTTTTTAAAAACTTTTATCAGCTTATGTTCTTTTAAATCATAGAGCATAACCTGTTGTTACCTGCCAGTCATGAGCCTGGTAGTGATACCATTGTTCTCAGCTAAGCTGGCACAGCTCTGGAGGGGAAATTGAAAGTACAAAGTGTTTTTGCACTTTGAAGTGTGGTACTCTGCTAAAATGGTTTGTGAAGACATAACCCTTGAACTGGATTTGATAGTCTTCAACACGACTGTTAGAACATAAACCAGCCCCTGTTTACTTGTGCGCAGTGTAGCACTGTAAAAAAGCAAGGTTGTTTTGAAAGCCATCTATTTCAGAAGCCATATGTTAGGAATGTTACTTGCATGCAAATTAAAATACAACTCTGATCTGCTGTTTTCAAATTCTGAAGGTCTTTTTTAATCACATTTACTGTGTGTACCGCAATGCCAATACTGATGTGATATGACTTTTTTTAAATGATGTTCTGCAGTACATTAAATAACATTTTACCTATTGAAAGTTTCTCATTACCATATAGAAGTGTCCAGGAACTGAGAGTGATTAATGACCTGTAATAAAAAAGATTTCCCTTTAGCCAAAAAAATATTTTTTTCTTGATATCCATCAATGATAGACAAAACAAGTGGGTCCCAGCACCTCTCAGCTTTCTTTGAAATTGATGTCTGCTTGTGACTGTGTTTTAATGACAGCTTCCACTATGGCTAATGCCCTTTGGAAGCATTATGAACATGAGTTAAAAATGGAGTGGAAAACACACAAATAATCCCAAAAACATTAAAAGAATATAAAGATAGTAATTCTTATTTTGAGACATTACAATTGTTTGTAGGTAATACAGTAATACAGGCAAAGAAATGTCGAAAACTCCACTGCCTGAATGTTGCTTCCCCCTTTATGTTTTCAGCAATCCATTGAAGCTAAAAGGGGCATTTCTGGGTACAGTGATACCCAGGAGGAGCTGGAAAGAGTGTCGGCAATCAAGAGCGAGCTGGACGACGTGAAAGGACGTACACTGGACGACATGTCTGAAATGGTGATTCAGTACATTTCGCATCAATAATCTATACCCTCATCCTCTTTGGCTGCAGGCAAAAAGACTGCTGAGCTGTTTCCTGTCGAAAAAACCGACTTGTGCATTATTTAAACATTGTCTTTTGACAGTTTATTACCTTAAGGACTGTCTGTATCAGTGACGGGAACATATCCCTTATGTGCAGCTTGTAATCTAACGGACCACTTAAGACGTTGTGAATCACTGCATGTCACAACAATCTAAAATTCCATCCAAAACTGTTTTCCTTTTTTATCAAACAAAACCCAGACAGTTCTTGCCAACAGCTTGTAAAATACAACTTTCCATTAAGAATGTCAGCCCTGTCTCACCACTACATTTTGTTTTTCACGGTAACCATGTATCCCATCATGGGTTATTCCTTATATACCCTCATTGTAAGGTTGGGGATTGTTTGGAAAGTTATTCAGCTTACCATAATGAGAAAGAGAATTAAATCTGCATGTTTAATTCTGTTTTTAAATCAATCAATCAATTGTGCTGTGATTTGAAAATAAGTTATCTGTCCCAGTTTTAAAGCATACAATAAACCTATTGCAGACAGTTAGTCTTTAAACATTACCTCTGGTTTGGAGCTCAGACTTTTTTCAGATTGGCAGGCTCCACACTTGGCAACATGAAACTTTCAGTGATGGATTCTGTTATTCCAGGCAGTTGCCACGCAGAAGACATTAAGTGACCTTAGGTTTGGCATGACCATAAAGGCTTCAAATTACTTTGTCACAGTTCTCTGTCTATCATATTGTGTAAGAAAGACAAAAGGCCAAGAAGGCGTGATGATCTGTTTTTTTATTTAAGTATTAAGATGATGGATTTATTTCAGGAGTTATAGGAATACATTTTCAACATTTAAAAATATACCCTACATTTGACGCTTTGAACTTCAGTGAGTTCAGAAATGTAATTGTATGTATTGAAACTTGAGTTTATAACAACAAAGGATTTGGTTGAAAGAAAACATTGATGATTTAACAAGCTATTGTTACCACAAAAGTGCAAGATCTTTCAATCTAATTTCAATAAAAGATATTAGGTGTAGGAAATGGAATTGTTAAATGTATAATTCTTTGCATTATATGTTTCACATGATCACTTCATTGACAGTTCCCTGAGTAATGTTCATGACAGGCTCTTTATAAAGAAATCAGGTGTGATAACTGCTGGATATAACAGGGTTGTGTTTTCTTTTCTCTTAGCAAGATACACACT